GTCAACATCGGACTCGATGACCAATTAGTGCTTACTGAACCGTAGCACTATGCAAATGTCATGTGGCGTGATTCCCGGCCGACCAATTAGCCATCACCAGCCGTAACGTTATGCAAATCTGTGATTCCCAAGCCATAGTCTTATGCAAATCATGCCGTGTGGCGTAATTGTCTGCTGACCAATCAGTGGCTGTACTTTCAAAAAGCCAACGGCCACTTTCAACCATCTGTCGATCACCGTTACGACTAAAAAAAACTTCGCTAGGTCTTACTTTCAGGGGGAGGTCTTATATTTCGCAATTCAGCAAAATCTGTGCTAGGACTTATTTTCTGCGGATGTCTTATTTTCGGGGAAACATGGTAGTTAATTGGGGCCTCCTGCCCCTAAGGTTTCCATATCTGGTCCCGGATTTCATCTATCTAATTTTGTTCTCGAGATTAAGAAAAGACAGACTGATGGATGACAGTGGAAATTTATAGATCTACAATTTTTTAAAATTGCAGCCCAATTGAAACAATCAAATAAAATCATGAATTCCTCATTCTATTTTTCTCTTACAAAGTACATTTAAAAACATTTGGATTTTTTATTCTAACCTTTTTTATTAGAATAGGTTTGATTCTATATTAAAATAAATCTTATGATAAAAAATACAATTTAAGAGTGTTGTCTTAAAATTCAATACTGAGAAATGCTATTTAAAAAAATTAATACCAATACCTGCTAATTGTAGCAGGAGAAGCCTGAGTAAGATCATCAACTTCAAACAACATGTGGATCAAAGGTGTAAGTTTGATTCTTTCACTATTGGCAAGGCAGAGTATTTTATTATCATCAAGTACCGAATTTAAATTTTCAATCCATAAAACATCAACTGGGCCATCGCAGATAATCCAATGATGGCAATCATTTTGTTCCTATAGAAATATAATTAAAAATATTTGTTTTAGTATTATAATTAAAATATAGTATGAATATAATAATCAGTGGCATGCCGTGACATTTGATGATAGGGAAGCTGTGTTTCTGTAAGAAGCCGACATCCAGGGGCAATCAGCCAATTGCGCATCAGTGATGGTCTAGGGCAGGCATGGCCAACATATGGTCTGCGGGCCGGATCCGGCCTGTCTAATAAATTTATATGGCCCGCAATCGATTTTTCAATATTAGCTACTCAAGTCCAAATAGCTCAATGAAAAATTCTGATGCCTAAAGAAAAAAAAAAGTCAACAACTCACAGTGCATTTAGAGTTAACCCTCCATTACAAATCTCATAAGTACAGTGTAAAATGTTCAAAAAGCATGATAATGTGAAAAATGTATCTGTAATCTCTATGTACTGTACAATTTAGTCTCTATGGGATGACACAACAATGAGATCTCGCACCACCTCAAAATCTTCCTAGGGTAGCCTCTGGTTCGGCCCATGGAAAAAGTTTTCTTTCCAATTCGGCCTGGGGACAAAAACTGTTGGCCAACCCTGGTCTAGGGTCCATTCGTATCGTTTATTCAATAAGCCAGTAAAAATCATAGACTTCTCTAAATGCATTTTTAATATCACAATTACATTCCGAATCTCTAGCCACGATATAAGGGCTACAATTAAAAATAAAATAATAAAAACTTACTCAGTGAAATGAAATGTGTGGTGGATGTACTGGTACATACCTGATACAAAATATTCTTCAATTGTATGAATATACTTTTAAAGAAAATTATAATTAAATATAGCTTTGTAAAGAAACGTACATAAAAATATAAAATCTCCTTTACTTTTTAAATCTTAAAACAATGCACTTAGTCAAATAGCTCCCTACGAGTGGCTAATGGATGGAATCGAAGACGGTTGCAGAGCGTGCATACACACGGATTGCCAAATCCCCAGGGTGCCGATACTGGTCAATGTCAAATACCTCTTTTGTCGTTGAGCTGGAAAAATTTCTGTTTTTATTACATTAATAATACGAAGAAATCAGTCTCCACTGTACTCGGCTAGAGATGGTTCGGCTAAGCTTTTGTTTAAGTAAAATTTCGACTCTTTCGTCAGAGTTTTGTTTATGTCCCCAATTCCCTAATTGCTTAATTATTTAACTACTTCTTAAATAGAAATAAGTCAAAACCAGTTACTTTGTACTCGAATATTTGTAGTCTTGGGAAAAAAGTGGAAAGATAAATTTTTATGACAGACAGATACATAAATCATAAATTTAAGGAAAAAAATTCTAGAGCTTTTTCTGTACCTCGTGCATCTCTCTCATTCATTAAATTTAGTTGTAAATGATGCTGTCAAAGCAACAGTTAATTTTTTAACATTATACAAGAATTGTACACGTTTTTTCCTACATCCCCTTAAAGATGGGACATACGAAATTGTAATATCACTGGTTTAACATTGAAATCTGTGAGTAATATAAAATAGGAGAGCAGAATAAAAATATCAAATATTTTAATGGATTTTTTTAAACTCCTGTCAACTATACAGAACTATCGTAAAAACATACCTGTAAATTCTTATTGGTTGGGTTAAGTTATAAATCTACTCATCATTCACATAATCGGGTGAGAGTGGCTAACAGCCCAGAACCGGCCCTAGATAGAATTGGATGCGGTATACAAGTAGCATCCACCCAAGGTCCTAGGCTTCTACCAGCTGAACCAGGTAAGGTTGGTGCTCTGTAAAGCACATGTGCAGATCTGGCTTTTTGAATGCTGACAATACAGAACTTCCACTCCGCCACTAATAGTTGAATATACAATAGCAATCTTATCTCTTTTTTTCACGTGTAGTATAGAAATTTGTAATAACATACATAATGCGGCTATAATAAAATATTGTGCAATTATTTTCATATAATTAAAATTAATATGTATTTATTTTTTAGAAAATACAAGGGAAGTGGCGCATCCATCACTTCCAATGACGGCACGCCACTGATAATAATTCATATTAAAATTACTGAATAATATTTTATACTTCCTAATAATGTTCATTATATAGATGTTAAATTTCATGCTAAATTAAAACTAAAGCATATACAGGGTGTGCACAAATTATTGGACAAATTCATAAGATTATATTTTGACTAATATTAAACACAAATACATGATATTATTTCTGTTTGAAAGAGGGATATTTGCAGCTTTTGTACTGACCTTAAATGCATTTAATGTGTGCCCCAAGTGTGGTAAAGCAGATGTCCCAATAGTACTCCCCATTATTGCCGAACCTTCTCAGGCATGTCTTGTGTGATTTTCCCGATGGTGATGTGAATGCACTGTTTAATTTCAGTAACTTTGTTGGAGTGGCAGATGTAAACTTTGTCCTCGATGAAACCCCAGAGGAAGAAATTGCATGCTGCAATATCCGATGACTGAGATGGCCAAACCTGACCAGATGTCAGGGATTATCTAAATGAACTGCCAGGTTAATTGCAGTGTGCAATCCTGTGAAGATTCATCAAGGACTATGTTTATGTCTCCCTACTTCTAAGAATGTTACTGGAATTGAAACAGCACACAGCACATTCATGCCACCATTGGGAATGTCACAAAAGACATGCCTGAGAAAGTTTGGTGAGAATGGGAGTACTGTCTAGACATCTATCATGCCATATGTGGAGCACACATCAATTGCATTTAAGGTCAATACAAAACTATAAATAGCGCTCTTTCAAATATTAGTAAAATCATATATTTATATTCAATATTAGTGAAAATACAATCTTACAAAATCGTCCAATAATTTGTGTACACCCTGTATAATAAAAATGTAAGTACTTACAAGAAAAAACTTTGAAATTAGAAACTATAAAACAATGATACACAAAAATAAAACAAAGTGAAACTCTCTAAAATATGCAAGTTCATCAATTTAGTACAATGCCAAGTTAGTGTCACTTGGCTAAACTACCAATTTTGTGAATTTGATAAGAATATTGTCACTTTTGTAAAAGTGAGACATCAACTGCTGATTTCACAAATTATTCATATTTTCACCTATTTTACAAAATGAGCAATATTCCTGGGTTTAGCATAACATATATCAAATTAAAATATTATATTTAATTCTAAAAAATAAGTATTTTTATAATTAAATAAAGAAGAGAAATTCAATAAATGAAAAATCTATCATTATTCATTTTTATACATCTTGTATCTTTATAATACAGCAAGTCCTCTTATATTCATTAAATATATTATAGTGTTTATTGTATATAACATATTATCAAATTATATTTTAGAGTATATAAAAATATCTCAATATGACATTTAAAAAAGTTCTTTTTCTTTTATTTTCTTTTTGTTATAGTGGTCACGAACATAGTAATTCTTTTACTATTGGCCTTCTGTTGGCATCACAGATTATTATTACTACAAAATAAGTTCATTATAAAAAATATTTTGTGTTGCCAATAAAGATTATTATTACTTTTGTATTGAATGTTTGTAACATATTAAAAACAACATATTGAAACAGCAAATGAAAACTCCATTACTTTTCAAAAAACTAATAAAATATATAAAGTTAATTAATAAAATGGTTGAACTAAAAATAATAATCTCAAGTTGAACATTAGAATTAGCAGTAGCGTGCCGTCATTAGAAGCGTTGGAAGCGCCGCTTCCCTCATATTCTCTAAAAAATAAATAAATATTAATTTTAATTATATGAAAATAATCGCACAATATTTTATTATAACCGCATTATGTATCTTATTACAAATTTCTATACTACACGTGGAAAAAAAAATTGCTATTGTATATTAGAATATTAGTGGCGGAGTAGAATCTCCTGTATTTTCAGATTACGAAAAGCCAGATTTGCGCATGCGCTTTACAGAGCACCAACCTCACCCGGTTTAGCCGGTGGAAGCCTACGACCTTGGGTGAAAGCTGCACACATATAAAGATTCCAATTCTATCAAGGACCGGTTCTGGGCTGTTAGACGCCTGCCCACTAGATATTTCGATTACATGAATAACGAGTAGATTTATAACTTAACCCAACCGATAAGAATTTACTGGTGTTTTTACGATAATTCCGTATAGTTGACAGGAGTTAAAAAATCCATTAAAATATTTGATATATTTTTTCCGCTCTCCGATTTTATATTACTCACGGATTTCAATGTTAAACCAGTAATATTACGATTTCGTATATCCCATCTTTAAGGGGATGTAAAAAAAAAACGTGTACAATTCTCATATAATGTTAAAAAATTAACCGTGACTTCGACAGCGTCATTTACAACTAAATTTAATGAATGAGAGAGATGCACCAGGTACCGAAAAGGCTCTAGAATTTATTTTCCTTAAATTTACGATTTATGTATCCGTTGTCGTAAAAATTTGTCTTTCCACTTTTTTCCCGAGACTACAAATATTCGAGTACAAAGTAACTGGTTTCGACTTATTTCTACTTAAGAAGTAGTTAAATAATTAAGCGATTAGGGAATTGGGGACGTAAACAAAACCCTGATGAAAGAGCCGGAATTTTACTTAAACAAAAGCCTAACCGGACCAATATCTAGCCGAGTACAGTGGGACTGATTTCTTCGTAATATTAGATGTAATAAAGACAGAAATTTTTCCAGTTCAATGAAAGTGAGTAAAAGTTGTAAATTTTGGAAATTTCCGTGGACACCTGGTCTTAAAACGAATTACAGTAGTTAGAAAACAAATGACTTTTAAGTTTAACAAATTTAGATTTTTACAGCTATGATGAGAAACGTTTAAAATTTACAACAACCCTGTCGCGTCCTTTGAGATATACTAGTGATGAGACAAAAGAGACATTAACCGGTATCGGCACCCTCGGGATTTGGCAAGCATGCACCGCACCGCACACCTACCAAGACCGTCTCTGATTCCATCCACGAGCCACTGGTAGGGAGCAATTTTAACTAGGTGGATTGTTTTAATATTTAAAAAGTAAAGACTATTTTATGTTATTTTTATGTACGTTTCTTCACAAAACTATATTTATAATTTTCTTTAAAAGTATATTCATACAATTGAATATTTTGTACCAGGTATGTATAATTGTATATCATCACACATTTTATTTTAACAAGTAAGTTTTTATAATTTTATTTTTAATTTTAGCCCTTATATTATAGCTAGCAATTTAGAATGTAATTGTGATATCGAAAATTTATTTCAAAAAGTTTTGGCTCGAGACCATATAATGAAAAAGAAAAAATTTGTTCGACATTTTCATGATAAAATTTATGAAGATATAAAATGGCTTTGTGGATGCATAAAAATGCAAAATTTGTTTTGTTGGCCTTGCCTACTATTTTCAAATAAAATTAGTGTGTAGAATGAGATTGGCTTTGACGATTTAAATAATTTGAGTAAAGCTGGCAAAAGACACGAAAATCCTAAATCTCGCATCGATTCTTTCGTAAAATTGAAGCAATTTGGAAATCAAAATAGAATAGAATTTAACATTAGTACACAATATAAAATATATATTGAAAATTATAACGAGATAGTTACGGCTAATAGATATATTTTAATTAGTAAATGTTATCGAAGCGAGAATTGGCATTTAGAGGGCGTAGAGAATTTATTAAATCTAATATAACAGAGTTAATTATATTGAACTTGCTTATTTATTAAGTGCGTTAGATAATCTATTAATTAAAAATACATTTAGAAAAGTCTACGGTTTTTACTGGTTTATCGAACAAACGAATACGAATGGACCATAGACCATTGCTGACTGATTGCCCCTGGAAGTCGGCTTCTTATAGAAACACAGCTTCCCTATCATCAAATGTCACGGCACGCCACTGAGAATTAGAGATATTATAAAAATACGAAATTAACCTTTTTGCTTGTTAGATCTTTCCAACATTATAATAGTAACTCCTCAGTTAGTAAAATTATTTTTGTGTTCTAATTGGATATAATATGCAGTTGTTTTTCCACCTCAATATAAAAATTGAATAACTTATGTTTATTTGAATTGTGTATTTCTATACGAATGACTAATTAAATTACCTGCACGGCTGTCCTCACAATTGATCCCATAAGTCCATCCTTCCATTCCAAAGTTAGTGAATTTATTTCTCCATACAGTTCTACTAAAGAAATACTTTTTGGATTTAAAACATGAGTTTTCACAGACCAATAAAACTTGTTATTTTCTTGTTTATCATATAAGATATTTAGACTATTTTTTAAAATCTGAAAGTGGAAAAATAAAAAATTTTCATATAAAATTTTAAAAAAATTTCAATTGGTAAAAACAATGCTAAAATAAGTTTACCTAAAACATTAATTATTTTATTAAAGTATATACATTTTATATATAATAATTTTTACATTTACCTAATAGTATTAAAAATAAGCCAAATTTTCAAATCAGGTTTTATTACTTAGTATCAAAAGCATTGTAAAAAAACTGAAGGAAATTATGATTGTAAACAAAAATTCACACCTTAAAACTCCAGTAATAAGTTTATTAACATAAAAACTAGGATACAAATGTAACCAAACTGTCTTCAAGATTTTCAGAAATAACAAACTGTGCTATGATTGTAATAATTTCCTGAGATTTATTCCATCTCATTAGAGAACTACCAAATTATAACAAAATTCATGTACATGAAGCTACCAGACAAAATCTGCACCAGAGGATTGAAAAGCACAAATAAACTGTTGATAGGAAACTATCTAATACAACTTTGGTGGCTTATGTTAACCACCCTGATGTCCAGGAGAATTGGGAAGAGGATAAGATCATCAGACCTACCATAAACATCAATTCACATAAATATTTTGAGATGGTAGAAATTTATAAAGCTTACAGAAAATGTAAATGTGCCAATTACCATGATGCAGACACACTGTTTACCCCATGGCATTCCCATGTATGAACTCTTATTTTGATGTTGATATGTGCTTCTTGTCCTTCTTAATTACTTATATTATACTTTTGTCCACTTTAGACATTCTTGTGAACTAGCACTTGTTATACTGAGGGAAGAGAAACACACAATCTACTGTATCTTATATTATTTTACATCTACTATATATATTACATGTTTTTATTATTTCATTTTCAATTTATTTTATCTTTGTTATTTAATTTTATATGTCATAATTTTGTATCATTTCCCATTATGTTTAAATTTTTATCTAGTATTCTTTTTGTTTGAACTTTCTATCTGGTAATTCAATAACTGAGGAAGACTTGTTAATTTAGTCAAAAATAATTTTATATTATTAAACTTATTACTCCAGTTTGTAAGATGTGAAATTTTGTTTATTACCCAGCATTTAGAAACTATTACATCACACCACTTTAAAAAATAAGCCCCTACTGTAGCTACATACTTATGCTTGCATCAATATCACTCCTGAATGCTATTTTTTGTGATGTATTTACAGGCTCTCATAATTAGGGTCTCTATCTATGTTACTGATAAAAATGTGCACTCCTTCAACTTTTCTTTCATTTTAGAAAACAGGTAAAAGTCTCTGGAGACAAATCAAGAGATAAAGAGAGCATTGTTATGCTTCTTGATCAGATATTTATTATACAATAATGACTAATAGGCATCAAATACTGTATGAAGTTGTAGCAATTAAAGCCTTTAGAAGAAATATGTAGCTCAGAAAGTGCTTATTTTAAAGATAATCTTCTGTAAATACTTGAACCATTAACATAATAAAAGTTACATTAAATGTTTCTTTACTTCTTATTTTTGACTACCACACACACACATACATACATACATACATATATATATATATACAGCCTATAATATTAATTTTTCAAAATATCAGATTACTTCATAACAAGTTGTCTTTCCACTACCAGCAGGGCCTACTAATATAACACCGTGACGTGCAACCATAGTTTGGAATAACTGAGTTGCTTTTTTTATCGTAATTTTAGTCGGGTGTAATCCTTTTGTAATGAGTGAGTATTTTAATGCCTCTTGTAAAACATCATCTTCAGGCATTGACAATTGTGTATCAGGAAACAAATCTTGAAGTACAGCCTGAAATAAAAGTAAAATGTTTTTGTTTTGATTTCTAAAGAATTTTTCAAAATATGTTTAATTAACAAATATTTTAAATACAATGTATTTTGTAATATTAATA